TAAATATTCAGTATACCTTTACACTAAAATAGAGTTGAACTTATTTTTAAAACTAGATTTTAACTTTTTAGTTTAATATATATATATTTTAAAAGTTAATTTTTCAATAAAAATAAGTCAAGTAATTATGGAGGACGTAGGGTTTTGATCGGGTATAATTTTAATTGTCAGGTGACAGGAAATATATTTATTTTTCAACATTTCTAGATAAATAAATAGAAGAATTACTGTAATTGAATTGAATTTTATATGAAGATATTCAATAATAAGTCAATTTTTGGGAGAATTTTATGTTCTCCGTATTTATTGAATAACTCCTAATGTTATAACTTGTCCTCCAAAAGTCCTCCAGGAAAATTTCTGATTTTACCATTTGTCCTCCAATCTCAGAAAAAGTCCTGACAACGCTAATCCTAAGGACAAATGTAGAAATATTATACAAACTTAACTTTCAAAATGATAGTCAAAATATTAGTGCTAGGACAAAAGGACAAAAGATAAAAAGAAGCTTTTTATCAAGATTAAGTGTTAATCATAAATATTCATTAAAATTGAGATGAGCACTTGAGTAAAGCACATTACATCTGTTATACAGATATAATGTGTACTAATGCACTTAATTAGTACGATGGTCAATTAGATTAATGTTTTTCAACTGAATTTGCAATTAGAATTAGTCACGTGATTTTTAATGGGGCAGTTCAGTCAGTACATACATCAAGAATGAAAACAAGATGGGCGTGGGAAACCTAGTTATAATTAAATACCTATAGTTTAATATAATTTAATTTATGAACAGCTATTGATTGTAACACTAATTAATACATAAGTGTTGATAAAATTATCTGTTATTTTCACCACAACTAACATATTATTACTTATATAAGTAGAAGATATTTTAAAATAAATAAAATGAAATATTGCCAGAAAGTTAAAAGATTGATTGTACAGTAATTATAGATAACAAACTATACATGTTACTTAAGTACAATTTTATGAACTTGTTATCTATACTCATAATCAATCTTTTTAAAATTCCGGTAATATATTTTCCCATTTATTTGGAATTTCTTCCACTGATATACTTATTACATACTAACTGAATAGCCCTATGAAATCACATGACAATAAAAGCACTCAATTGCACAGAATTAGATATTCCAAGAATCATTAAAAATAATACCTGTACTTAAAAACTTATACTATAAACAAAAGATTACCCAGATTGAATGTGTCATAGAAAGTACGCTCCCGCTATGATTTATGATTAGCCAGGTTACATTAAGTGTTAATATGATTGTGACAATTTAAAGTTGTGTACATGTGATCAATGTATTGCAATAAAGCGTGTGTATTGCTTTATATATAAGCACTATATTAGTTATCAAGGTTTTATATTCTTTTTCTAAAATAGAAAAGATCCATTCGGATAAATATGTGACAGGTACTAAATGTAATATTTAAAGAATTTACACACAATTTAAAAATCATATGACTATAATATCAAGATCAAATGGTTCTATTTTTATTTAGTATTCAAATTAGCATACTTTAAGATTACAATTAGACCAATTCACTGAATTATCCCATGATGTGCTTGGTATATAAACAACGACACAAACCTCCAGTTCCACTACAAGTTGATAGGTATTGACTGTCAATAATGAAAGCCTTCATAGCCTTAGCCCTAATAGTGTCGGTGAGCGCCGTTCCCCTCCAGGAACTGGACAGCGAATGGATTGCATTCAAGGTATGTATTCTTGGGTCAGATTTGTTACAGAATTGTAATACTAATCATTGCATTGCAGAATGAATTCCGTGGGAACTCCTACTTCGGTGGTGAGGGCGAAGAGTCGGTGCGCCGGCAGATCTTTGAGACCAACTACGCGTACATCACTGCCCATAACGCCGAGGCCGACAGAGGTGTCCATACTTTCCGATTGGGTGTCAACCAGTTTGCAGACATGACTAACGAGGAGTACCGACAGCTCCTGAACCTAAAGGTGAATGCAAACCAACTGAACAAGACTTATGCTGAAGATGTGGACGACCTAACCCTTCCCAGACGTATCGACTGGAGGACCAGGAATGTGGTCTCAAACGTCAAGAATCAGGGACAGGTATGTTATCATTATCATAATACAAAAACTATCAACAATCATCAATATAATAATTCTTGTATTTGAATCTAAATTTATAGTGCGGTTCGTGTTTCGCATTCTCTGCCGTCGATTCAATTGAAAGTAAGTTAACTAATCATTAAAACCAATCTATAAACTCGTTCATAACACATACCTGTCCCACAGGTCAATACGCTATCAATACGGGAAAACTGGTGACACTGTCGTCCCAACAGATAGTGGACTGTATTTATCCCGGTCGTGATGTCTGTCAAACAGGCGGCGATCCCGTGGACGTCATTGAACTGGTCATCAAAGAGGGTGGTATTGAAAAGGAGTCGGACTACCCATACCACGCCCGTTCGGGCATCTGTCAGTACACCAAGAGTAAGAAAGCCGTGTCCGTCACCGGTTTAAACACTTTACAGACCGGTCGGGAGTCAGCCCTCAAGGGGGTCGTGGGTCGCGTGGGACCGGTAGCCGTTGCCATCGATGCCGGCCACCAAAACTTCCAACTCTACACGAGCGGTGTCTATGTCGACAGCGCCTGTCGTAGTGATGTCCAGAGTCTTAATCATGGGGTTCTGGCTGTGGGTTATGGCAGTGAGAAGGGACAGGACTACTGGCTTATTAAGAACTCGTGGGGCGCTCAATGGGGAGCTCAGGGCTATATTAAAATGGCCAGGAACAATAATAACCAGTGCGGTGTGGCCACCTATGGTGTCTACCCTACCACTGTTTACTAAATATGATTATAAATACTATGTATTACGGGTAATAT